TGTGATGTGACAATCTAAATTCATGCTGTGAGCTGAATACAATCATAACTGCTTCTACTAAACCAGGTTTACTGAAGCCAGTGATATTATCATAACTTGAGTGGTCAGAATATATCAGAGAACCTGTGTGAAAAACTTCAATCCTTAAGAGTAACTTGCATCCCAACATACTGTAAACGTACAAGAGAATTATGTTTTATATTTAACGCTTAACTCATCAGCATTTACCTTTTACTTTGTTAGATACCCATCTGCATGTTTTCACATTTTCATCGCAGGGTGCTCACAATACTCTAACTGAAAGTAAGGGAACTGTTATTTGCACATAAAATGTGTTATGTGAATTTCGTTGTCTGTCTTTTTTTTGAGTATTACACTAAAATGTTAAAGCACTAGTAGTGGGTATAGCATTGAGTTTTTGTATGTACAAACTGGATCACTTAACTGCTGAACCGTGACTTCCTGAGTGTCACTTTCCAAGTGTAGCAATCAAGTAACTAACCGAGTTACTTGGAGGTTAATAGTTCGAATCTCGCCTAGACAGAGGATTACTTCTAACTTTAGCCAACATTACTTTTCACAAAGTTGCAGATATAAAACAAGAACTTATCAGCTAATGGTTCAAAATCCAAATAATTCAATTATTGTACTACTAACTTGCCTTTAAATTAGTTTCTATCATCAACAGACACTAAGAAGGGAATCACTGAGAAACAAACAGTAGTGAACAGTTGTTTTGGCCCATATTAGCACTTCCAAGTAGAATGTAATCATGACTAAATGTAGGATCACTCCTGAGACCACCAGATAGCTCACTGTATACATCATCGATTAGCCATTGGGTTGAAATGTAATTCTTACACTTTTCAATACAAATCAATCTATAACATAGCATGATCGTTCAACTAAGCAATTGTTATATATCTTTGAATCAATCGTTTGCAAAAAACCTACTGAATAATTATTCAGTTCTCATTGCGAAATTATTTTCACCAGCGATAGTAGTCAGATAATCTTTCGATAATGACAAAATACTGTTACAAATAGAAATTTTTCACCTACGATGATTTATATTGCACTTCTAGAATACTGATATCAGTACATCTGCATCCAGTCAACAAGCTTTTCCTGTCTCCTTTATTCGAAAGTCTTATGTATTCGTTCCATGAAAATTGAAAAGATGGTACTTATAGAGTAATTGTCTGTCTGTAGTTCATTTTATTGTTGTTGCTAATGCACTTATTTTACTTTGGTTCAAATCGCATGCTCAATGTAGAATGTACAATAAGAAATTCCTGTGATTTTTCTTTGAGTACTAAGAGTGATTTTCCGGAGCAGGAAATGAAACTTTACCCTAACACTTATGTATTTTGATACCAATGTATGCACAACATATTTTGTATTTCCTGTAATAAAATAGCTAAGTTTAAAATTACTAATTTTATTAAGTTGTGTACTAATTTTTCAAATAATTTGCTGTTTCTAAAAGTTACTAAATGTTCTTTGATTATGATTGGTACTGATTTCTCTTCTTTTATTTTGAATACTGATCCAGTTTGATATCACCTTTGCTACTCACTAATAAAGCTCTATAGCAAATCAGAGGTTTGACCTGGTCATTTGGCAAAGCGCCAGGATAATCTCTCAGCAGTATTTTATTCGAACATCAAGTTTTATCCGCATTCAGTCGTCATCCACTTGCATAAAATTAGTCTACAAGAAAATGTTATCTCAGATACCGCGATAAACAGCTCAGCTCTCAATAAAAAACGGCACATTCTGAACTACAAGACATGAGTTCAGCGATCGATCACTGTCATCAACTTCATTCTCGACCATTACCATTGATAGCAATAACACTGCAATTAATATTGTCAACTCAACATACATTTCACCCAATAGCGTAATCGGTTCTTGGTTGTTTTTTCTGAATAATTCAAGGAAGTTTGTCTTCCTGTCCCACGGATGCCGATTTAATCAAACTAAAATCGACTATCCTAAGTATTTCAATATTTAATTGTCATAATGCGTTATGTTTAACATAGAAACTGACTAGATACCTTTACTCTGAAGGAAAATACACTGACAAATTCTTCATTTATCCAGACTGTGAAATCGGTGCAAAGTCAGTAGCATTACAGTTGTGCTATTCAAGCTGAATACGGGAACTTAATGCTAAATATGTAGATAGATAAAGGAGAATACCTTAAGCTAAAAATGCTGTTTATCAGCATGCATAAAGCTTAATTGCCTAAATTTACCAGGTTGCACAAAATTCATCAAAATTAAAACAAAGGCAATAAAAATGAATCTCAAGATTGTTTCGCGCGGGTTGACAGGAAACGGAAATACTTCTTTGTGCTATAATATTAAAATAAGTAATAAGTAGAAAAGAAATTATAACAGTTGGGTTCAAATCAATAGTTTACACGGTACAAGATTTCTTCCGCCAACTGATTTAATGCACTCATTTTTCGTCAAACTTTGGCTTTTATTTATATTTTTGGTTTATTTCACTTGAAATTCTGAAAGTGATAAGTACCTTACCTTAGCAACGAACAAACAGTTAATCACTTATTAACTGATCAAATCGCACATACGTAACAAACGAAGTTCGTATATGCTACAAGTAGATATTCTGAATCAAACATTAATCAGCTTCAAAAGTGACAGATAGAACTCTTAATAATCTATACTTTTGAGTACCTACAGATATAATGCTACAAGAGATAATCATGTCAAAGGACGTTGAATTTCACATTGAAGGCTTCTGATTCTGTGAATTTTATCATATTATTTATTCCAATATTATGTGAATATACTGGATATTCTTAAAGTTCATGGTACGTGCTGCCTTACGTCTCATCCATAGCGAAATAAATGGTAGCCTTACCTACTAGAAATTTTCCTTTGAGGCAATAGATAAAATAGCAAGTCAGTCTCTTCACTTAACTAGATGAGACGAGACAGATTAGATTTGAGAAAGTATAATGAGAATTTTAGAAGAAATGATCTCTTCTCACTATACATAAAGCCGTACTGTTAAACTAATTGTAGACATTTGCATCATTGATTTTTGCACTCGAGAAGTATCTGGATTGATATACACTAATGAGTTAGTAAGTGAGTAACAGGAAAATGATAGTTACCACATATGGAACAAGTTTATTCTTTCCTTTAAAAATGTCAGTATATTTGATTCCCTAACAGTAAACAGTTAAAATATCGTTCATATGCATGCAAACGAATGTTAGCGTGAAGAATTTATTATCCATAACTAATTTAACGAAGGCGTTTTGCAAATGATGTGTCCCGCTTTCTGCAGAATGTTCGGTAGTTTATAATCGAAGAACAGACCGCATCACTTACTTGCGGTATAATTCTTACTGTCAAGCAATGGATAGAACTACCTGATTGAAGCATCTGAATGATGTCCAGTAAAAACCAAGCAGCCGGTGTGTACTCAGTTTACAAGGTGCTTATTCTACACAGTTTTAAAAAATATCAAACAAATCGGATGATGAAATTTAGTTGGTTCGAAAGTTTGAACTCTGTAGAACAAATTTTTATACAGATGTATCCACTGATTAGCACAAAGTCAAAAGAGTTAAACAGTGACCAGGTGTTCAAACTACGCACTCTTGGTCAACCTATGTAGATAGTTATTGTAAGTGAGAAAACAAGTCAAATTTTACTGTTATTAATTATCACGAAAGAAGGAAGACTTTGGAGAACAAGTATTTCATCAGTAATATTATCCTCATTAGATGTACAATCACATTTGAATATATTAAGTGTTAAAAATTAATCAGTAGTTCATTGTAAGCTGTGGCCAGGATAATAACAGTGGAATTGAAGTTACTTAATGAGCATGGACATGTTTCAAAGGGTGAACAAGTGAGTTGAAATCAAGAGTTGAAGTATTCGTAACCCAGTGAATTAACAGTTGTAGAGGATGAAGGGAATGGGAAATCAGTAACTAAGCTAAGAGCGTTTGTTTAATCAGAAAAGGGAAATTGAGAAAGTTTGGTTAAGCTGGAGAACTGGAAAGTTTGAAAGATGAAGCAGTGAATCAGGAAAGTGGATGGCGAAATTGCTTCTGGACAAACATATCTGGTTTCCTCTTCTGATGAATGTGACCCTCAATTTTCCAATCCTCCCCTCTCGTTGATGTGACGAGGAAGTATGTGCATGAGTGTGATACAATCCCCACTACAAAGTTAATAGAAAAGTGGCATTCAATGAAAAAGCATTTTACTTTCTCCGAGACAAAATTCTTTTCACAAACGATGAATATATCACCAACATATGTTTTGTTTAAACTGCTTGTTGACTGGGTGGGGTGCAGATGTTTCCAGTCTGGACATAAAAATATATTCATAGAGTGGACCTGATAAAGATCCTATTGCTGTCTCCTTCTTTTCACTGGTCGAAAGAGATTTTAAGACTGGAATGCACATCACAGATGAGTCTTAATTGTAGGTAGTTCTTACACTTATTTTACCTGTAAACTGATGTATGTATATAGAGGCAATTTTACCATCCACTTTCCTGATTCACTGCTTCATCTTTCAAACTTTCCAGTTCTCCAGCTTAACCAAACTTTCTCAATTTCCCTTTTCTGTTTAAACAAACGCTCTTAGCTTAGTTACTGATTTCCCATTCCCTTCATCCTCTACAACTGTTAATTCACTGGGTTACGAATACTTCAACTCTTGATTTCAACTCACTTGTTCACCCTTTGAAACATGTCCATGCTCATTAAGTAACTTCAATTCCACTGTTATTATCCTGGCCACAGCTTACAATGAACTACTGATTAATTTTTAACACTTAATATATTCAAATGTGATTGTACATCTAATGAGGATGATATCATCTAAAACGAAGTTTTTCGCTGAAATCTCGTTTCTTTTTCCTGTCAATGGAATAATCATCATACATGTAAAACCTAAAACTATAGTACTTTATCAAACCTTCCTTGTTGCTTTATTCTGTAGATACGAGGATACTCTACTTCGCAATCGTGTAGCGTCTATGAAAATGTTGGTTGGGGTGAAGATATAGAACCCGCAAAATTCATTTTCACAGTTCCATCTTCAGTATACATATATGAAAAAGGTGAATCGCCTAATTTACTTGACTTTGTCAATACAAATAAAAGTGATGATAAGCAAAAGTCAATTTCAATTTCAGAATATGGTTTAATTACTGACAGATCGACTACATCAACGTCTATCATACCTATACATCGGGAAGTAATGACATAATTGCCTGGAATCTGCATTGAAACAAGAAATATAAGATGACCAAACCGCTCCAATCAGATTGCATATTGGCCATTTCTTATCTTTCAACCTATATAAAAGATTTCACCTTTTGCGTAGTAAAAGAAGTGCATCTTGCTAAATGGTCTACAAACACAATCTACTCATTGATAATTGTTGTGTAAAAAAAACACTCAAATGAAGAATCTTTTAACATTATCTTACACAGAGATGTACTTTTTCAGAGGAAATTATCTTTTTCTCATGCCAGATGACAGATGGACTGACTTTTTTAAATGCTACCATTTTGACATTTTTATATTTTATGAACATTTGTTTATTGCTGTTTAAGATTTCTAAACCATTGGCGTTTCTCTCCTCTCTCTCTCGTTTGTTACAGAACTTAGTATGAGGATGGTGCTGATTGGCCTCACGAAAATGTACATTATTACTATTATTATTATTATTATTATTATTATTACTATTATTATTATTATTACAAATGAAGTACATTTCAGATGAACTTCATTTATCAGAGAGATGTTACTGGATGAACATCTATTATATTGTGTGCATAAAAACAACAATATATTTTTCCTTTTAGATATTTATGCAATCTTATTTACCTCCATGCATGCAGTCACATTTACACACAAGTTGTATAAAGAGAAACAAACAAAATGTTCTTCATTGTGATAGTTACAAATGTATTCTAAATTGTTTGTTTATTTACTTGCTTTTCACATTAACTGAGATAAATAGGTTTCAAGAAATAGTGGCTTTTGTTATATTTTACACAAGCAAAATATGCCGCATAATATTGTCAAGAAACCTCTTCCAAACTCGATACTGTCCAATAATGCATATGCTCAAAAGAAATTAAACAAAAGGTGGTTTTCCTTTAATCTGAGAACACATAGATCATTTAAACGCAACATTTTATCAGTAAAAGCTTTATATTGACTAATTAATAAAAAGTCAGAAAAAACGTCTTGCTATGCTGTATTGTGTTGTGAAACTTCAGTAAACTTAAAATATATGTGAACTGTAGCATTAGTATCAAGTCCCAGCTTCAACAGAGATGTAAATAAAGTAGAACTTAGAATAACACCTTAGCAGGTCACAATGGCGTACTACAATTCAGTACAAATATTCGTTAGTTTTAAAAAAGGATCGTAGACAGTTTGATTCACTTGGACGCTCGATATAGACAGAGCCTAGGACTTCAAAAAAAGCTATGGAGACTGAATGCCAAAGTTACACAGTCTAACAATGGTTAAATATACCAATTCATTTTATGGCTATGATGTTAAACAACGAAGAAATCGTTGCAATATCCAGTGAAAAATGACCTACATCGTCTAACATCTCCAGGTCCAGTGCAGGATACCTTCCAAAATTGATCCTGAGAACTCATGGCAACCCTCAGGAATGCAGCCATGGAAAACTCTAGTGTACTTTACAATCATCATTAATACGATTACTTTTTTTGAGTAGATAAACGGGAGTAGTGTTAAATATCTGCCACGAGCTTGTTCAAACAAAGTGAAACTATAAAACATTCTAATCACTAAAATCGAAACCATCTAGCCAAAAAAGCAACTGCAGACAGATGGTGATAAATACACCCATCTTTCAAGAACCATTCATCATAAGATAAACATTGATATACAATACACCAGGCATAGAATAAGCTAAACTAGAAATCAATACTAGTTGCCTATAATTGCATGGTTCTGATTTTAGGCCTAAGATAAAAGCCGCAACAAAATCAGACAACCAATGAATAAACAAAAGCAAATACAAATATTAAAAATGATCACAGCTACTGCCAACATAATGTTAAGAGGGTAAAAAATTAGAATATGTAATCATCTCCATCTGAAAAGAGGCCACCTAGAAAAAATTGTAATCGCAAAGATAAATACCAGATTTTAATGAAACCTAAGATAAGCGCAGATATGCAAGTTTAACATGAAGTAAAACTGAAATTCGTAGAAAAATAAGGAAAATTAACAGGTAATTTCATCTCAGCGTAACTAAGTGGTGTTGATACATAGTTGATACATAAGATAGAAATGATCTTGACGCTTATATTTGCTATTCTGGTTCATAAAGTCATTCATGCACGAGTGTATTTTAGGACTTATCACAGATATAATCAAATAAGCAGTAGGTCCTTTACATCGCATACCTACTGATATGGACACTGGTAAATATAAAAATCGATACACTCGAGTGGCTTTACTCAAGCGTGATTCATGAATCTATAACTGTTATATCCCAACCCTATAAACCTTGAAAATCATCCAGTCCAGTTAGCTGCATAACTATTACAAACTCAGTTGAACTGAAGCTGGACAATTAGACGCATGATAAAGAAGTTTTAAATTGATGCAAAGAAACTTTTGGATGAAGTGATAGAGACAGACTGTAAATAACACATAAAAACCATGATTTTCGTGTCCTACTATTTTGAAACACAGTCCATCACCAAAACACTGAGAACTAAGCTGATCAAAAAAGATCTGCTGAAAGCATTTTGTGGAAAAAAAGCTTTTATTTAGATTTCTAATTCCTGAGGTGTACCTTCGTCATATTTCAACTGCAATCATGGTAAAGGTCAGAGAGTAGTATACAATTAGAGAACATGAGGTGTCGAACTCCATAAATTACCCAGTAAGATAACATAAACTAGCACCTGTAGTCTACACACAGCTATATTGCACGATCGAAACTGGACAATTAAAATCAATGATGCAGCATTTGCAAGCAAGTATTAGTACAGTATTTTATTATTACCATTTTTCACTTGGGTTCCTAGTGGAACATACAGCTTCAGTAGCACGCCTCCATTCAACTCTCTTCTCTGCAGTCTTTTCAACCTGGCGCCACGACTGCCCACAAGCTTTCATTTCTTCCTCACATTATCTCCTCCATGTCACCTTCACCTCAGACGCCCAACTCGTCGTTTCCCCTTTCAATTCCACTCGAGGGCCTGAACTGGTGCACGATATCCCCAATCGGCCCTCCCAGTGTATGCCCAATCCGACTCATTTCCATTTGCTTCTGATGTCCTTATATAGCTGTTGAATGAGGTTGATAAAGATTTGTGGCACTCCGTAGTGTTGAAGCAGCTGTCTGACAAATTACCTCTCGGTCGACGCTGTCGAAGGCCTTTCAAAGTCGATGAAGTTGAGATAGAGAGTTGACTGCTATTCTATACTCTGTTCTATGATGGTGCACAGCGTGGCGTTGCAATTTGATCCGCACGTGATTTGTTCTTCCTGAAGACAACCAGCCAGCCAGCCTGTTCTGGTCGTAATTTCAAATCCAGCGCATCCTTTTGTCTCTCCAGGATGATGCGGCAGCTTCGATGTGTCCATCGAGATCCATTCCTTGTCTTGTTTCATTTTCCTTCCTAATACGGTTATGCAGGTTTCTTTCCACATGGCTTTCAAAAAGTTCCAGTGTTCTTCCACGCCCGATCCTTCAGGGATGTTGCTCAATGTCTCCCAATTTGTTCCGATGGCTGACGTGAGATATCGTTTGTAGTTTTGTCCTTCAGTTTCTGTTCTGTATGTTGAACTTGAACAAGCATGTTGAACTTCCGAAAACCACTTAAACAATTATGTAGAGTAACTTTTTTTACAAACCCCATAAGATCGAGTAATGTATAACAAATAATAACAATTGCTTAATATTCAACTTGATATCGTCAAACTTAGACTACTTCACAAATGAATCAACATGAAAAAATATTTTCATAACATTAATCCTTGAATAAATTCCAGATGACTCAATTTGAGGTCGAAAATTCATGAATTCACTCAGCAACCATAAGACGAAATAATGATAACTTTGGTATACAACCGTTCAGTCTGAAAATAAGTACTTTATCCTTACGAACACCATTCGACTGATACGATCACAACAATAAGATTGAAGAAAATAACTACGAATAATGAATGGTAAGTAGAAATTTCTATTGCGCAAATCAGAGAATTTGATTAGCTGACCATTACAGAACGTAACTAATGATATGAGAGAAAACAGAAACAGTCTAACGTCACTTGTTGCATTTGAGTGGTGTAAGCACTTCTAGGTAAAATGAACCTCTGATGTTCATATCAGTCTGATCTGGCACGGGTGCTGAATCATTCCTGTCGCATTTATTTGTTGATTCGATAAACATTCCATTATCAATCTCTCCCCCACTCTGAACAAATTGGCTTTAGGGGCTGTCACTCATTCCTATTATTATTATTATTATTAGTCCCTTGGGTTCCTAGTGGAACATAGGGCTTCAGTAGCACGCCTCCAGTGACCTCTGTTCTCTGAGATCTTTTGAACCTGGTCCCACGACAGCCCAGAAGCTCTCATTTCCTCCTCGCACGACCTCCTCCATGTCACCCTTGGACGTCCAACTCGTCGCTTCCCATCGGGATTCCACTCGAGGGCCTGACGCGTGATGTCCTCAGTCGGCCTTCTCAGTGCATGGCCAATCCATCTCCACTTCTTCCTGCATATTTGTTGCGTGATAGGTTCTTGGTTGGTTCGTTCCCAGAGTTCCTTGTTGCTTATTTTTTCTGGCCATCTGATCTTCAGCAGCGAGCGTAAGCAGTTGTTGATGAATGTCTGTAGTTTATTGGAAATACCTTTCGTGACGCGCCAAGTCTCTGAGCCATACAAGAGCACTGACTTGACGTTGGTGTTGAAAATCCGTATCTTGTTCCGCATGCTGAGTGCAGAAGATCTCCACACTGGTTTCAGGCTAATGAACGCCTGTCCTGCTTTTCCGATTCTGACTTTGACGTCCTCGTCCGTCCCGCCTGTAGTTGAAACAGTGCTTCCTAGATAAGTGAAGGAGGTTACTTCCTTCAAGTTTCTCCCGTTGATGGTGATTGGAGTTTGTTGTTGTTGTTGTTGATGGTGGTGGTGCGGTATCTTCATCACTTCTGTCTTCTCTATATTCACCTGAAGTCCCGTCTTCGCTGCCTCTTCTATCAACTTGTTAGTTTTTGCCTGCAGATCTTCAAGTTTATGTGACATTAGGCATAAGTCATCGGCGAAATCCAAGTCTTCTAGGTTCTTTTCCGTCGTCCAGTGTATCCCCCTCTTCTCGCTGCCTACTGTTTGCTGCATGATCCAGTCCACCACAATCAGGAATATCATGGGGGATAGTAGGCAACCTTGTTTCACTCCTGTCTTCACTTCAAAGGCATCACTGAGCTTCCCATTGTGGATTACTTGGCATGTGGCATCTTCATATAGTTGTTGAATGAGGCGGATAAAGGTACTCATTCCTATCCTAGTGTATATAATTGCGTGCATGGACTTAATAGGGCTTTTGCCAAGATTTCTTATCTTGTTAGAATTTAGCAACGTTGATTTAGCTGTGCATCGACAGCCTAACCTACCTTAGTTAACTACATTGACGCATGTATTTGACCTTGCAATCATTGCAGGTAAATTGGTAAACTAAATTACGTTGTCTGTTTGGATCAGTAGGAACTTTTCATCTACAAAGCTTGTTTCTAAGTTATTTTGTAGGTTTTAATCCCACTCTAACACCAGTCTTATTGATAATTATTCATAGAGCTTTCGAGTTGTGATCCTAGCATAGTAACACAGGTTTCAAATTCTCTCTTCACGATGTCATTATTATTATTAGTAGTAGTAATAGTATTATTGCTGACACCTGTCCTTACACTGCTGCTCAGATTTTCCCGATAACTGCTGGTAGCAAGGGGTTACCATAAACGCCTGTAGGGTCACCTTGATATGAGTATGGACAACAAATTTAGTCCGAAACGCCAACCAGTAAATAATACTGTCTCACTGTGCGACATTTTGTGAACAAACTAAAATGGACTTTTTGCAAGACAATATCCAAATATACATTTTATCGATAAGAAACAATGGATTGTAAGTGACTACTTCTGGATATGAAACTGAAACTAATTTGTTGTTTACGCTGGAAACTTAAAGTATTCTCTGAGCAACTTAATGTTTACGCTTAAAGTCTCAAACTTAAATCTCACACTTGTGTGAAAGTGTTGCTTTTTCAATCAACTAGGGTTCATCTGCAATATAACAAGAAGAATTTTGATAGAGATAACAAAATAGTCAGGAAAATATCCTAATAATGATGGATTTCAAGCAAAATAGCCAGAATTTTGACTGACTTGATAGCAAGTCTGCATGCCATACCACTCTCACATGCCTTTGTCCATATATATGAAACCCTGGGAAAAAGCATACCTGCATTTATTTTTGAGTAAATATCGATGAACCTTCATGAAAAGCTGGTTAGTGCAACGTAAGGCACGATAACGTCCTATTCTACAGAACACAATCGATGATCAGTGAAAAAATCCAAGAAAATTTCTATATTATTTATCGGCCTCTTCAAGCATCATAAAAAATATGCTCTGAATAACGTCTGAACATGATCCTTCTGAACGCAAATTTCAGGTTTGATCAATCGCATGGCGAGAGAACTCAGCTGTGTTGACCATATGGTGGTAGGCTACAAGTGGTTTTCTGGAGGGAATGCGATGTATGACACTGAAAACTATATTAGCATCTACGTGATGCCCTGTTTCTACTAAATGTGCTATGATGGAGCTTTTCACTACTTTCACTTCTTTACTGAACCAAGCCAGTAAATGGTCTGGTATCCGGAGATGCACCTGTGTAATCGTATGCTCTATGTAACTTGTTCCACAGGAACAGTTATTTTCACACGTGCAAGATAAAAAGCTAAGATTAGGTAGACCATCCTTAAGTGTCGGGTTCCGCATTGACAGACTACCAAAAGATATCCAAAGCCGATCTGGATGATGCCTCCCATTGACAGCTCTAGCTAGGCTTTCTGATAGGATGGTATTTGGAGCGTCTAGCTTGAACTGCAGTCGTAGAAACAAAGACTTCTCCACTGTTGTCAATTATCCTCTGCGACCACTTTAACTTTCCCGGATATCTGTGTTGACTTAGAATAGTTATATTCTAACAGATACACAGTAGTTCTTCCTCTATACACTGTTTGGAATAAATCGACTTTACTGTGAATGCCAGGCACCTGATTATAAAAAGTTTGTACTTCATCATCAAAAAACTGAAAAAGTGTGTACACTGTGCCTTAGACGGCGGTTTTCTGTATGTACTTATCGGCATAGAGCTGTCTTCGTTTCTTGTCACTAGCACATCGAGAAAATATATCAAATCATGGACTTCAGTTTCATTTGTAAGCTGAACTGATGGTTGAAGGTGTTTGAGTACAACTAATGTATACACTCTTATCACACATCGACAATATAACTCGATATTGGCAGTTTGGTCTTTCGAAGGACCTTTTCCAATTCCTCCAGAAGTATGTCTACAATACTGAGCCCAATGTAGATCCCATAGTCATTTTATCAACCCGCCTTTACAGATTGCTGTTGACGATGAACTGGACATTCATTGTACATTTTAGCGACAGTTCTTTCAAATTCATAATAGGAATCCCAGTGTCTAATTTCCTTTCCAACAGTTATTCGTAGATCTAATCCGCGGTTCCCATTAGAGAGGCATTAGTGAACAACGACATCAAGCGACTCCATGTATTTGTTTAACACATTTAGGTTTTTTACATCATCACATTACCAACTTGTACATAAACCTCCCTACAAAAAAAGAAGTTCAATGTACAGTAATTTACTGGTCGCTTTCATATGGCCTTAATACATTCGAAAATACTCAAACGTTTATTTCAGTCAGATCATAAACACGCTGGGAGTATATTAAAACTTACCTATACAATGTTTGTTCCAATCATTTTTACTTAAAATGGAGTTTTTGCAGCTTTCTTCGGCTTCAGATTCAAACAATGAAGCCGAGACAGAAAGATGAAGTGCTGCCATGTCTTCAACCACCTCAGTTTCTTTCAAAATACTCCTTTTGCAACCGAAATTGCTCACTAACGTAAACATTGAATACGGTTAATACATCTTACAGTATAATCATGTATTTCAACTTCGTTATCTATACTCAAAACTTTAATCCTGAGGTGAACAGCAGATTTACTACACGTAGCTAGTGGCTTTCGCCCTTTAGTGCACGAGGCTAGTGCATTTAATTGACCAAGGCTCGAGTTTCATGAGCTTTATGCAGTCATACAGCACTAATCTTCCTGATAGTTTGAAAGCTATCAGTCCAATCTAATCATTTCATTATTACATCTAGAGTTAACGGAAGATTAACCAAGTGTTGAAGCACATCTTCATCATATTGACAACCCACAGAACAAATGACCATTGCAACCGAATTAGTTTTAAAATGTATTCTTTACGGTAAGCGTTACTAAAATAGCACATCAGCTCTGTGCCATGGATAAGTTTCCAAAGTAAACGTTGATAGTAAAGTGCATTGTCTACCCCATCACATACCAATAATCACAAAAGGATAAACTGACACCTATACTGTATTGAAAAATAGTACAACATTTTAGTGGTTCATAGGCAATAGTTATTCAAGATTAACTCAATGCAAAATTGCTTGTGAACTAAATTCATTGCAGTGTCTAACATTTCTGTCTTAATCAAATTCATGATCTGAAATTTACACATCCATGTTCACAGCATTTAAACAATAATCTTTCAGGAATGTAGTTAAGAAGACATGTACAACAAAAATAGCGATGAGAAAAGTAATATGTCCGTAGAGAACTAGTCTTCATTCAAAATTGGTCAGTAGAAATCCCCATTCTTTCCAGCTTTACTACAGTAAATGACTAATGATCTGATATCCAAAAGATTTCATCAGATTGTCTTTTTAAATTCAATTTCCAGCTATCTTCGACTGAATGAAGTTGAAAGCAGTTAATCTCATCTAGAAAAATGCAGTTTAAAACAAACAACTGTTATACTTCGAGGCATAAAAACAACTCATAAAAAGTATTCTGTTACACGTGATCTGTTTTCAGACTACTAACTTGTTTGTAGTAGACTGAACTTGTAAATGCTTACTAGGTCATTCTTGAAAGCTATCGCATACTGTTTTATCGAATGGCTGTTTCAATGGGACTTTGCAATATTTATTTCATAAAAGTGTAAAGGTAGGGAAATAATACAGGTATTCAGTGATACAATTTATGTAAATAAATGTAAATTAATTGACAAAAAGACTGATAACAAACACTAAAACAGCTTCCCTTCAGAGTATCAAATACATAAGTGTTGAGTGAAACATACTTAGTGATATCAAATATAGAAATAACTTCTTTATTGAGTTAATTGGAACTGGAAGATGAAAGTATCAACGACTTACTTTGCTCTTGCAACAGATATGTTTTCCTCAAAGCGTGGGCTGGGAGCTGGGGGAATAATTTAGAACTTGGATTTTTCTGTATACATGACTTTGTTAACGAACTAGAAACAATCAATCCACAATGATGACCATGTTCAGTATCTTTTGTAGAACTGTGAATAAACTGTCGTGTATCTTCTAGTAGATAAGTCAGTCGCATGAAGAACGAAGAATCACTGGTCTACAGAAAACGAGGGCAATAGTTATTACCGCTACTTAGACAACACACACAAAAAATACTATTGCTGTAAGCAAAACAAAATGCGAGTCAAAATTCGGTGTATGTATGCATGACTGTACCTTCAAAATGAAGAACTATGTTTCAGGACTCCTTGTTTAAACATTAACAATAAGTGGTTTCGTATGTTAATTTCTACATTTATGCTGCTCTCAGTATTTACAATAGCAGACTGGCTGCTGGTGAAAATTCTGGTCCGTAATGAAACTGCATCACCTGTGACATTATTTACAGTCTTATTAGGAAAACCCAGCATACAAATTTTGGAGCATACGACTTTCAATTCTTTGAAAATCCCCGCTATGAATGATTTTGATCAACTAATGTTAAATAAGACATTATCATCTATATAATTAATCATTTTCGACAGAATTCTAGTAATATTTGATTCTGGTAGTCTTTCTCATAAGTCCCTCTGTTGTATAGAATCCCCTGGCTGCATAACATTAATGAGTGGCTCTTATACAATCTCATAGTTGCTGACATACACTTATTCTTTGAACAAGCAACATAGAAATATATCTGTAAAAAAATTGGAGAAGTTATTTATCAGGATAATCTCTGTTCATTAAACTGTCTTCTGACACAGATGACTCTGCGTTAACCGCCATGAAAAATAATCACTTAAAATTCAATAAAAGCAAGGGTATTAGCATTTTATTGGCATAACATTTGAGCAAAACCAACTCTATTATGAACAGTTATCAAAGCTACGGTTCCGTAATTCAGAATAAAAGTCCAGTCATTTGATAACCAACTTTATTTATTACTATCACAACATCCTGAGGATGAATGCCGGAAACCACCATAGAAAATAACTGTGGTTAGAAGGATTCTGAATGATACCACAAACGTTCAACAGCAAGCTATAAATCGAATTATCGCCTGTCTGAAGTTCATACAGAATCGGAATGCAAAAAAAATCTGGAAGAAAGTCCATTGTAGACAGTAGATAAACCTATGACTGGTAAACAACTGTTTACAGTAACGCAGCAGGATATGCCCGTTACTTATAATTCCCTAAAGTTCAATACTTTTCTACAGAATTGTTTCAACGACAGCTTCACATACTCTTTATTTCGCTTAGGAAGTGTACATTTAGTTCCTTCAATGATTGGTCATTATTTATTAGCCATAACTCAGACTAAACGTTAGAATCTAACTAAATATCAAAGATTACGATGTCTAGTTATTCACTGTATTGTACTACTTATTATGATTATTATTGCTATATGGATCAAAAGATGACTGAAGCATAATATTCGTTGGAAAAAATCGCTTTTCTGATACATTTTGTTGTTAAGAAGCTAACAGACAATGTTTTACAAGGGATAAACTGAAACGTCGATAAAAATATCCAGCAACAAAAATACTTTGATTGTCTTGCTTCCTCTGAGCTGGATAGTCTAAGCATGAAGCTTTCATTGTCTTTCTGGACATCACATTGAAGTTAGTGCTGATGATATAAGTGAAAAACTTGGGCACTGTGGTAGAATGTAGTTCCATATTAAGTCTAATATAGCTAGGTGGAGAGAGAGATTAATTACTGAATCTTTGTTCATCGAATCCACACCAATACATGTAATAGGAATGACGCAACACCTATACCAGAGATATGGGAAACTTTACTACCAATCAAAAAACAAAAAAACAAAGAGAGATCAGGTGACAGGACTATAAATCAGATGTCGAAAGAAGTGTGATTACATTGATATGATTATGAGCAATAATTTATGCTCGAAACGTAATCAAGTAAATAATACTGTATCACTGTGCGCTTTATATCAAATAAACAAATCTAATATGGAACTAGTGCTGATGATGCTTAGAAATACGATAAGTTTCACGATCAAATCACCCAGTTCAAAGAAACCAACACAACCGAGATTATTTATCTGAGCTGTAAATATTTTCTACCATATCATAGAAAGGCAAGGGGAAAAAGCCTACTAAAAGCTACACAATCAAAAAATATGCAGTTAGTTTGGTAACTAAAACTGTAGAAAAGGAGCTCAGGAAAATGTCATCGATTCACTGAGTTACGTTTTATTTTCATTTATGCTGATTTTGATAAAACTAACTGGCGCTTCATATCGACTACTGAGCAATATGACAACAAAAATATACTTCTCTAGGCATTTTATGCTTGAAATTTGCTCTAGACACTAAAAGCATTATTAGTTTCAGATAGGAATATAAACAGCTTCAACTAGCATTCTCAAATCTGAAAGAATAGTTTCTTTTGGTCGCTCAGTTGCTGGTACCGCTTAGCTAAAAACACAAATAGAGTCAAAAACATTTACAACACTTAATACAATCATTCTAAGAATTAGTTTAGTTCAGGAAGAAAAACAAAATTCGTACAAATGTTGATAGTACACACAACGAAATATTATAACCAGTAAAGTAATATTTTGTATCCCGATACAAGATTACTTCGTTTATGCAGGCAGCTCACAGCACAAATTATTAAATTAATAGTGATGAAAAAGGGTGGCAAGAAACACTTCAGGCCTGAGGATGACGGACAGAAACCTTAATACAACATCCTTTTATCAATAAGTCACAAAAAATTGGGTTGGTTTAATGGATCAAGGGGTGGTTATTATTTAGAAATCATCAAAATCGACAGAATTTGTAAGGCAGCCATATCCAATAGTATGACTTAAGAAATGGAGCGTGTTATATCATTGTCAGCGTCTCTGTTATACACATGATCATTTTGTAGACCGATAGTGGCTTATTGTTTGGAAGTAAAAATAAACTGCTTCACGCATAAAAGTGAAATGATTATACAGACACTTACAAAACTTTAACACACACATACGGGTCTGTGACAGGGACTTGTACAATATACTAGAAAACGAGTTACTTACAGTTGGGAACTCAAGCGTATACGTTTTCAATAATTTGCAGCTGTATTTCGACCCTCATTTAGACAAAAACCTGTTTAACGTTGTTTCACTACATATAATGATTTTGTCACAAACTATCCCGTTTAGTAAATAAGTAATTTAACACTTAAGATTGGACATGACTGAAACAAATAAGTTTTGAGTTGTTCTCACAACCTAAGGAAAGGTGTGTTAGAAGGTAACAAGAAAAGGTATGTAATAAAATTTATCATTTCATAAAATTCTTACGTTTTCTACAAATTGATCCAATCCTTCAACAATGATAAGGTCGGCAAATCGTTGGCCCATATGAACACGAGAAAACCACGAATCAATGAATCCTGAGAAGACAAGTAACTAGAAGTGGTTGAAATATGCAAATCAAGGATGCCACTGGTGTTAATTTTTAAAGAATCTATACAAACGAAAGCGAGATTATTTTAAATAACACACGGTACTACGTGAAGTATAAGATACTCTTAAAGAATATATCAGCTTATGTAAGGTGACTTGCATAGCAATCCAAAAACTAGGAAGGAATCAAAATTCACTTAGTAACCATATCCACGTTTATGCAGTAGGCAATGAGACACATTTGTTGTATGAAACTCTAGTGGTACTATCTGGCTGCCAAAACTTTGGTAGGTGGGACTGGACTAGAACCTGTCACCCATCGCCTGAAAATCAAGCCTCTGGACCAATGTGTCCCGGCTCCGCCAGACAGTTAGTGTTAAAGCTCAAATTTTCAAGTAGTGACTTAATTTCAAAATCTACTTCGGTCCGGGTAACTAGGTAGTGCCATAGGCTCTCATACAAAAAGTATGGCACACAGCCTGTACACAGACCTGTTTCCCGTTGAGTTGCATCGTTGTATTATCAGCTCAACACGTAATTCAAATGAAAATAGTATCCGTATACTCGATAGAATATCAAGGTATAAATATGATTCGAGCACTTTAATTCACAACACCTGTTAAGTTAGTTTGTTACCAAAAGGTACTCAGGATTCGTCTGAGGAAGTGACGTCAAGTGATACAAATTTGTAAAAATAAAGCATTGCTCCACCTAACCAGATAAAAAAAGAAGTCTTACGGTTTCCAAGTCACACTGATTTATCATAAGTAAACAGGAAAAATTAAAGCAGAACCATGTACACAAGTGCATCCGTTCAACTTGCCACACTTGACAGTATACAAAGAAAAACTGGAAAGACTGATATCAAAGCAAACAAACGTGTAGGGCGAAGGGAAAATTTAAAAATTAACGATTGTCACAACATTTAAACTTTGAAGGTATCAAAGACTCAGTAAATCGGAGCCATTGTCACCGCTTTTCACCTATGTCACCAAGAGTTCTCACCCACTGATTCCCGTCATCTAGGGACCAAATCCAGGTAGTCTAAGTCTCTCTACACAGTAGGGATTACCAATCAGGGACTTTATGCACCCGACTGCTTCATATCTTCTATCTTTAAAGTTCTTGCTTTACAGCTGTATAACAGGACAGAACGGACTGCAGCATAGTATACTTGTTCTTTGATAGATAGTCGAATAACTCGCCAGTGGGCACCAGAGATGACACAAGTTGGCAAATGACAAACAAGCATTCTGTACCCGAGTCGAGATTTTGTCGGCAATTGGCCCTTTCAAGTCCATGCAACTCAACACATTTCAGCACTTCACTCCCCGTCCTTGAACTAGGAGTAGTTGTAGACCAGCTCTTGAGAATCACCTTACAATTCACAGGTGTGAAACGCATGATCAATCTATCAGAAGTCAGATTCACCAAGGTTATGTTCACTAGAACATCCATAACGAAATTCAATGAGAACGTCGAAAACGCACATTCCTAGCGGTCACTCCTAGCTGTCATCAGTTCTGATGAAAATAAGTTACATGGCTGATTGAGTTCCAGTAGAGCACTTTGATTAGCGGCATATACTTGCTCGGTACCCCATTCACAGTCAAACGCTACCACAACACCTCAAGGTTGACAGAATCGAATATCGCCTTCATATAACAAAATATGGCACGTATCGGTGACCGATTAGTATGTCTGTGTTTCAGAATCCGCCGAAGAGCGGAAACATGATCGGTGCACTTTCGTCCAGGTGTGGAACCTGCCGATTTTCTCGAGTTTGCTGTACTTGGGCTCCAATTAGATGTCGTATGACTATGGACTCAAGGATGTTGAACAGGATGCTGGTGAAACTGATTCCTTTGTGGTTATCACAAGAAGACTTATCTGAAATCTTACAGACTGGGATGATCAGAGAAGCAGACCAGTCTGTCGGGAGGGCTTATGATTCCCCATTCACTACCTAGTACTTCTATTACTCCAATCAGCATTTTTTGAGAACGTCAGGTGGTAAATTGTCAGACCCTGCTGCTTTGCATTGTTTCAGATTTGAGGTAACTTTTGCAACTTCGAAGAGAGTTGGAGAACCGACATCTGCGTCCCATTCAGGTTCAGGCTGATCGGATGTTAGTCAACCGAAGTGTTGCTGAGGTCCAGTTAAACCGTGCTTCAAAGTGTTTTGCCAAACACTGCAGCCGTCTATCCTGGAAGGTTATCAGCGTCCCATCCTTCTCAGTGACAGTTTCACTGACCATCGTTTTCTTTTTGTCGGCCCTCTTAATAAACCTGATAAGTTGCCAGGTGTCACCTAACCCTGATGCCTTCCCTATCTCCCTCGCTTACACCACCCACCTCTACTCGCTCTTGTTGCGAGGATTCCTGGTCAACTTACACTGCAGTTGCTTTCACTCTTCATTGTGGTCACAGGTAGCTGGAACCAGTCTTATCGCATCAGTCAGTTCGGATAACGTTGCGGAAATCCGATGACGTTTACTAGCCTTCAGGTGTAGGCTGCCAAATCTCTTTATTGCTGTTTCTACAGCAGACTTGATATCAAGGTGAGCATTACTGTCACATTCAGGTATATACGTATTTCACTTTCTCATCTTCCGATCGCATACTCAGTCTTCACTGCTATCTGTTTGTTGCATGCAGTAAAGTGAAAGCATACACGTGCTCGCACTAATACGGGATCGCAGTTCAAACTGGTGCACCAAAAAGAGAGGCACTCCACCGATTATCTCCAGCGATGGCTAGTAGCAATACAGTTTGGTTTGAAGTGAACGGACAATATGTGAGACAGTATATCACCTTATGCTTAAATTTAGTGCCGGCCAAAAACAAGTGGTTGTCGGAACAAAATTGTAAGAGATGATCACCGTTGTCAGTTCGTTGGCATAGGATTCCGTAAATACATCCCACATGCCTTTCCGATTGGCTCAGCTCCCCTACTGCCTTATAGCTACATGTGAATGTTTTGTTTTCTGTGAGAAAATTGACAGCTTCTTATAGAATTCATTCTTTAGATCATCCGAACTGCAGTCGGTGGGTGCGTATGTGGAAACTATGAACAGACATCGGTTGAACTCACGATCCTTCCTAGTTCTCACAGATCCATTCAGTAGAACATCACATAGATATCTATTGGCTGGCATCCAGTCGAGAAATGCAATTCCTGCCCTACAGCTCGATGCTAATCTACACTATGAGAGGGAGCCAATAGGTCTTTGGATACACTTAAGATGAATGTTGAATATTTACAACAATGGCCAGGTGAGATCAATTTAATAACCACACTCGGGTCCCGTATACGTGTCTCAGAGACATCAGAGATACCAGAGTTTTGGCGAGCAATGCTGGCTATCCGATTTGGCATAGAGCTCGGAAATTGAAAGCTCCTACATGAAGTCGACGGTGTGGTCTTAAGAGATTTCGATGGCTTTGATCGTTGGCAATGGTTGCAGCTACCCACACTGCGGAAGGACATTTCTTCTTAGGGTAGCTGAAAAAGAAAAAGGCCGAAGAGCCAATGGGACATCTGCCTGAGGGCTGTCGCACAGCCTTTTCAAGATTGTTGGTATGAGTTATGAGTGTTTTAAAGCCAGATGGAGAAAACACTATACCACCGGCACCGGAAGACTGTGGGGGAGGGAGGGGGGCCAATCTTTTTTAACCCCCAAGTTCTCATAGGGAAGTTAACATCAGCGTGGCACTGCTGGTCATCCAAGGGAAACACCTTATTGTTTTCACACCCCAGCCAGCTAGCAATATGACCTCGCCCTTAGACTCCAATCATGGTGTAACAATTTACACTAAAACGGAAACTATTTTTCGTCTTACTACAACCCAACAAGCCTTTAGGACATGATAGGACCTCGTAAGAACAACAGTTCTAGTCTGTGTAACCCATCTGATCATTGTGATATGCAAGCCTGACCCCAGCAGAAAACAAGTTGGGATCTTAGTTTTCTACTATTATGGAAACGAAATTATTCACGCTATTTACATCCTAGGCTTCAATAATAGACAGATATTATTGCCTCAGTAAACGTAGACTATGACATCATAAATATTGCTGAATTATGATACAAAGACAATTAATACAGTCAAATGATTATACGGGCACACTACTTATTGGTAATGACCAATAAGAATCTCAACTTTTCTTCTTTGAAGGAAGCCAGTACAATGTGAAATGTCGCCATATGGCTTTTTTGGTTGGCGTAAATCCGCGACTTTTACAATAATCAGTGGTATCACGCTGGTTGGCCTGAGTAATATTTTTCCATCCACGAGATCACTCTGGAAAAGGTTGATGAACAAAGGACTTTGTGAAGATATATATATATATATATATATATATATATATAGAGGGAGAGAGAGAGAGAGAGAGAGAGACAGACAGACAGACAGACAGACAAAACCTCACACGCAACTCCGAAACAGTGACAGAAGGCAATTTCTCTCAATATGTAGAAGTCAAACCTAAAGAAATTAAAACAGCTTCCAACAACCTGACGCCAACATTTTAAAGCCCCAAGCAACTCTACACCTCTTGGAAAAATGAATTCTTTGTTCAAAGAAATTCTACGTGATAACAGGCAGCTTCAAGAAACATGGCCTACGCAGCAAAGGCAACGATAGTGGAACACCTTACATGGACATGCTTCACAGTCATTTAACAGAACACAGAGAACTGCTGCACAGTACACTCGACCAATAGTAGGCAGTCGAATAACAATGTGCCACATAAGTTAGCAAAAGGCAAGCGAACCTTTGTATATAAATAGAGAATTCATCGGTCACTGACCCAAAAGGGTTGGCACGACATTCCAGGTATGCAAAGTGGTTAAAGTACTGAATCACTTTGCTCCGTGACTGACATCCTATGAGACTAGCGTACAAACATTGATTGGTCACAGGAGAGGAATTCCATATTGTCTAGCGCTGACCAAATTCTATCGATCATTTTGCAATGTGATAGATGTTCAAAGATAGATGTTAGTTGGTTGTCCGCATCTTAACTTAAGTCAACCAGGGAGTCTTCTGTGGCAGAAT